GCAATAAGTAGACCAGAACTTTTTGTTGTGGAGAGATGATATTAAGGTAATGCTGAAATAATCCACAACTGGCTTTACATGGTTCTAAGCAGTCTCTGGGTTACCAGTGATTCTCAGGAGGGAAGTGGAGCTTCCAGGGCAAGAGGGACAAGAGGAGGTTATAAAGGCATTTTCACAATAACCTCAAGATGTGTTGTGAATCACAATATGTATTGCTGAATTAAGAAGATAAGACTGGGCAGCCCTGGTGGCGCAGCAGTTTGGCGCCGCAGCGGTTTGGTGCCGCCTGCGGCCTGGGGTGTGATCCTGGGGACCTGGGATTGGGTCCCACATGGGGCTCCCTGCATGGGGCCTGCTTCTCCCTCTGCCTGTGTCTCTGTCTCTCTCTCTCTGTGTCTATGAATAAATAAATAAAATCTTAAAAAAAAAGAAGATAAGACTATCTTGAAACTTATGTTTGGCACTAGTTTAAAAAGGTTCAAAACACCATGTTATCTGGATCTTGACTGGCAGTGGGCAAGTAATTTAGGCTGCTTGTAGTATAAGATTTTACCCAAATACCCATTCAAAGTATTACACTGTTGGAAGTACAAAATATAATTGAGCAACCCTTCACATAATCACGTTAAAAGGTAAAAATCAACTGATGGTGGGCCTAGTAACCTGATAAATGAGTGGAGATTATTATAAATACTCTTGTATTCTTACCCTTACCTTCTCAATGTCTTTTTGATAACAGAATCAAGGACATCTGGCCAGAGAGAGCCAAAAGGAAGACTCAAGTCAGGAAAATTCTCAAATTATCGTTTTAGGCCTTCCACCTGCTGGGGTTATTACATCTACAGATTCTTACTGCAGTGCAGTGGGGAGCCTGGCCAGGCCCAAACTCAAGTCCAGGTCCTGCCACTTTCTGGGCAACCTTGGAGAGTCATCTGGTCCCTCTGAACCTCAGTTTCCTAAACCATAAAGTGGGATAATACCCATTTATGAGCATTGGAACAGGGATGCCAGGAACTTGGTAAAAGCTCCATGAACACTGTTTTTATTACAATATTCCCGTGTAAAAGGTTCCTTAAATCCAAACAGTTGTTCAGCCTCCTTAAAACCAATTATTTCCTTCAGCTCTCTCTAACTTAATCTTTGGAGGAGAAAAGGAAGGGGGTGGAAAGGAGAGGTATCTCAAGCAAGACAGTCACTCATGTCAAGCAGGGGCCTGTGTCAAGCAATGAGGTAGTGGGTAAGGGCACTGCAGCTAAGACAGATGTCACCTGGACCAGCACCCAGCTGACGACACACTCAGAACTGAAGACCAGAAGAAACAGAGGAGAAGGGTTTGCAAAGGCCCAAGACTAATTAAATCCCTTTAAAAAGAGATCTTTTGCAGCAAAGTGTCAGATTCCTCAGACATTGGCCCCTCCAGGCCTGACCACTTCAAAAAGGCAGTGGAGGAAGGCTCTGCAGCCTGATCTCATGAGATCCTTCACTGTTTGAACATAAGAAGCAGTAAGTGCCCAGCACTCACCCTGCCTGGCACCCACAGACTGACTTCAGGATGGGTTGGTTAACTTCCTACCTCCTTCTCTATCTTGTTTTTTTGTGACTTGCCTTGTGCTTCACTTTGTGCTGTGTGAGAAGCCAAGCTAAACATGTGGTGAAATGTCACTGAATCTGGAATCCTGAACCTGCTGTATAATGATGTCAACTGTGCTCAGGACAAGAGGTGACTAGAGCTCAGGGCTGGAGAAGAAACCTGCAAAGCACTGGGAGTTAGGGCAAAGGAGAGGAGGGTCCCGGGCAAGCCTGGGGATGAGTGTGGAGGAGAGGGGTCACCGCCCAGCTGCAGAGGCCATGGTGGACACCAGGCTGGGAGCACTGGTCCCTGGAGGGCTGGGGACTGACAGCAAGGGTCTGGTCTGGAAAAAAAAAAAAAAGGGTCTGGTCTGGGCCCTGGTGCTGGAGGGCTAGGGGCCAGATGGTGGAGGTGAAGGGTCAGGTGAAGGTGGCCAGATGGTAAAGGTGGGGGCTTCGGGGCTGGGCAGAGGGCAGGGGTGGGCACCTGGCGGCAAGGACACCGGACCAGCAGTGCCTGAGGGTGAGGGCTGGGCTCTTGATCCGGGCGGTGGAGGACAAGGATGGGCACCTGGCAGTGGAGGCAGAGTGGAGAGTCAGGCTCCAGGTGCTAGAGGGTCGAGGGTGAGGGTCGGGGTCCTAGGGTAAGGGCTGCAGAAGGCCAGGGGTAGGAGGCAGAGGGTTGGGGTCCCAGCGGCAGAGGACGGGGAGCTGGGAGGGAGCACAAGGGTCAGGGTTTGGGGTCCGAGCACTGGAGGGCCAGAGTCCTGAGGAGAGAGTTGGAGTCTGGGGTCTAAGCACTGGAGGGTCTGGGGTCTGGGCACTGGAAGGCGGGGGTCTGAGGACAGGGTTGGGGTCCTGAGGAGAAGGCTGGGGTCGGTGGTCCGGGTGGCGCATAGGATGGGAGGTGAGGGCAGAGCATGAGGGTCAGGGTCCCGAGGAGAGAATTGGGGTCTGAGTCCTGGACAGCAGAGGGCAGGGAGCTGGGGGTGAGGCATGTGGTCCTGAGGAGAGGGTCCGGGTCTGGGGTCCTGAGGAGAGGGTCTGGGGTCCTGAGGAGAGGGTCACGGGTTCTGAGGAGAGGGTCGGGGTCGGGGTCCTGAGGAGAGGGTCCGGGTCCAGGGTCCAGGGTCCCGGCGGCAGAGGGCTGGGAGCTGGGGGTGGGGCACGCGGTCGGGGTCCAGGGACCCGAGGAGAAGGTCCTGGGTCCTGAGGAGAGGGTCCGGGTCTGGGGTCCTGAGGAGAGGGTCAGGGTCCTGAGGAGAGGGTCGGGGTCCTGAGGAGAGGGTCCCGGGTTCTGAGGAGAGGGTCGGGGTCGGGGTCCTGAGGAGAGGGTCCCGGGTTCTGAGGAGAGGGTCGGGGTCCGGGGTCCTGAGGAGAGGATCCCGGGTCCTGAGGAGAGGGTCGGGGTCCTGAGGAGAGGGTCGGGGTCGGGGTCCTGAGGAGAGGGTCCCGGGTTCTGAGGAGAGGGTCGGGGTCCGGGGTCCTGAGGAGAGGGTCGGGGTCCTGAGGAGAGGGTCCCAGGTCCTGAGGAGAGGGTCGGGGTCTGGGGTCCTGAGGAGAGGGTCGGGGTCTGGGGTCCTGAGGAGAGGGTCGGGGTCCTGAGGAGAGGGGCCCGGGTTCTGAGGAGAGAGTCGGGGTCCGGGGTCCTGAGGAGAGGATCCCGGGTCCTGAGGAGAGGGTCGGGGTCGGGGTCCTGAGGAGAGGGGCCCGGGTTCTGAGGAGAGGGTCGGGGTCCGGGGTCCTGAGGAGAGGATCCCGGGTTCTGAGGAGAGGGTCAGGGTCCTGAGGAGAGGGTCGGGGTCGGGGTCCTGAGGAGAGGGTCCCGGGTCCTGAGGAGAGGGTCGGGGTCCGGGGTCCTGAGGAGAGGGTCCCGGGTCCTGAGGAGAGGGTCGGGGTCTGGGGTCCTGAGGAGAGGGTCGGGGTCCTGAGGAGAGGGTCGGGGTCCGGGGTCCTGAGGAGAGGGTCCCGGGTCCTGAGGAGAGGGTCGGGGTCGGGGTCCTGAGGAGAGGGGCCCGGGTTCTGAGGAGAGGGTCGGGGTCCGGGGTCCTGAGGAGAGGATCCCGGGTTCTGAGGAGAGGGTCGGGGTCCTGAGGAGAGGGTCGGGGTCGGGGTCCTGAGGAGAGGGTCCCGGGTCCTGAGGAGAGAGTCGGGGTCCGGGGTCCTGAGGAGAGGATCCCGGGTCCTGAGGAGAGGGTCGGGGTCGGGGTCCTGAGGAGAGGGGCCCGGGTTCTGAGGAGAGGATCCCGGGTCCTGAGGAGAGAGTCGGGGTCCGGGGTCCTGAGGAGAGGATCCCGGGTCCTGAGGAGAGGGTCGGGGTCGGGGTCCTGAGGAGAGGGGCCCGGGTTCTGAGGAGAGGATCCCGGGTTCTGAGGAGAGGGTCGGGGTCCTGAGGAGAGGGTCGGGGTCGGGGTCCTGAGGAGAGGGGCCCGGGTCCTGAGGAGAGGGTCGGGGTCGGGGTCCTGAGGAGAGGGGCCCGGGTTCTGAGGAGAGGATCCCGGGTTCTGAGGAGAGGGTCGGGGTCCTGAGGAGAGGGTCGGGGTCGGGGTCCTGAGGAGAGGGTCCCGGGTCCTGAGGAGAGGGTCGGGGTCCTGAGGAGAGGGTCCCGGGTCCTGAGGAGAGGGTCGGGGTCCAGGGTCCTGAGGAGAGGGTCCCGGGTCCTGAGGAGAGGGTCGGGGTCCAGGGTCCTGAGGAGAGGGTCCCGGGTCCTGAGGAGAGGGTCGGGGTCGGGGTTCTGAGGAGAGGGTCGGGTCCGGAGTCGGGCCCAGGCGCTGGGGTGGGGCACTTGGTCGGGGTCCGGGGTCAGGGTCGCGGTCCGAGGTCCAGGGTCGGGGTCGCGGTCCGGGGTCCCGGGGCGGCGCGGTGGCGGAGGTCCGCGGGTGGCCAACGCCCGAGTCCCGCACCCGAGGCCGCCCTCCGTCCCCTTGGGCCAAATGCGGCCTGGACGAGCGGGGCGGGCAGAGGCTTCAGGGTCCCAGTTACCGGAGCCATTGGGGCCGATGATGCAGGTGAACCTCCTGAAGGGGCCGATGACCTGGTGGCCCCGCCACGACTTAAAGTTCTCCACAAGCAGCACCTCCAGATGGCCCATGGCTGCGCCTTCCGCGCCTCAAGCGTCCTCCCCGCACGCCCGCAGGAAAAGCGCGGGAAGGGCCTCGCGGCGTCTCGCGAGAGGAGAGAGCGCGACACCCCCACCCCCAGCGGGCGCCGCGCCGTTCCTAAGCAACCAGGTTGTTTACGTCTCCCAGGAAACCGGCCTCCGCGCCCGGCGCGAGGTGGCGGAGAGCCGAACTGAAAAGCTCGCGAAGGGGGCGCGTGTTGCAGCGGAGCCAGCCTCTCCCAGGCTACAGCTACTTTTATTTTCGTTGTCTTTTTCCCTTTTCACCTCGCAGGCCTTGAAAAACCCGTAGAATTTCTTCGCGATTCCAGTCATGGAGCTAGCGCAGCCCAGGGACCTGGGGCAGGACTTGGCTCTGGGTAAAAGGAGGCACAACGAGCTGTGCAGGCAGAAACGGGTCTTCAACGCCAGGAACCGGATCGGGGGGGTGAGGCCCGCGGGCCGGGAGGGCATGTGCGGGGCGGGGGGTGGCGAGGGCGGCGGGCGGCGGGCGGCGAGCGGCGGGAGCGGAGGCGAACCGCGCGGGCGGGGAAACCGCGGATGCAGGCACAGCTGCAAAGGCTGACGGCTCTCCCGGGGAAGACGGGTTCCTTGAATGGGCTGCTGACCTCGTGGTGGGGGGAGAGGGGGCGGGAGCCCCTTCACCTGCAGGGCACACCAGGGACTGCACTCTCTCACCTGCAGGGCACACCAGACTGCACCCCTTCACCTGCAGGGCACACCAGACGCTGCGCCTCCTCACCTGTGGGGTACACCAGACACTGCACCCTCTGACCTGCAGGGCACACCAGATGCTGCACCCCCTCACCTGCAGGGCACACCAGACACTGCACCCTCTGACCTGCAGGGCACACCAGATACTGCATCCCCTCACCTCAGCACACCAGACACTGCACCCTCTCACCTGCAAGGCACACCAGATACTGCATCCCCTCACCTCAGCACACCAGACACTGCACCCTCTCACCTGCAAGGCACACCAGATACTGCATCCCCTCACCTCAGCACACCAGACACTGCACCCTCTGACCTGCAGGGCACACCAGATACTGCATTCCCTCACCTCAGCACACCAGACACTGCACCCTCTGACCTGCAGGGCACACCAGATACTGCATTCCCTCACCTCAGCACACCAGACACTGCACCCTCTCACCTGCAAGGCACACCAGATACTGCATCCCCTCACCTCAGTACACCAGACGCTGCACCCTCTCACCTGCAGGGCACAGCAGACACTGCACCCCCTCACCTGCAGGGCACACCAGACACTGCACCCCCTCACCTGCAGGGCACACCAGACGCTGCACCCCTTCACCTGCAGGGCACACCAGACACTGCACCCTCTCACCTGCAGGGCACACCAGATACTGCATCCCCTCACCTGCTCAGCAGGAAAATGGAGTCCTGCAGCAGGGAGGGGGCTCACCTGCACCCACTGGCTCAACGGAGACCTGAGCACATCTCCTTTCCCTGAGCCAGATTTTCTACACTTGCCAGGGGCTCCTTCCAGTCTATTTATTTGTTTTGTGGCAGGCTTTTGGGGGGGGGGGCACAAAATGAGGAACATGGCAATTCCTGCCTGACCTTGCAGAGTTCATGGCCCAGGAAGGAGAAGAGAGGCAGGCATTAAAACGGTCACATTACTATGCAATGGAATCAATGCTGTGAGGCAGGGAAGAACAGACTGGGTCTGGGGGAGGAAATCAGAGAGGGCTTCCCAGAGGAGGTGTTGCCTAAGCCTGTTCTGAGGACACCTATTAACGAAGAGAAGGGGAGAAGGAAGCTCTGGGGACAGGAGGAAGAACCAACTATAAGCAAAAGCATCCAGGTATGAAAAGACCTGATGTGCACCTAAGACAACTAGTTAACAGTGGAACAAGGCTTTTAAAAAGGTAAGTGGGATTGTTATCAACTGACTAAAATTATCTGGCTGTAACTGGTCTCCCCTTGTTTTCCATTTCCAGGGAGACACAGAAGCCTGGGATATTCAGGTTCGAGACCAGAAGATAAAAGAAGCAACAGAGAAAGCTAGACATGAAACTTTTGGTGAGAATATCTAGCAGTTTAGGGCCGGGTACCTCTAGACTCCAGTTCTCATGTCTTCAAAGATGTAAAACTCATCATTTTCACACTCCTCCTCCTTTTAAAATTTCACCGTTGATTGTATTCAATTAACGTGCTGATTCTTTCTCTCTTCAAAGGAAAACAGCTATTGAATTCTATGTAGATGGCAGGAAATATATTTTAAGGGTAAATGTACATTTGCATCAGTTTTCTTTAAAAACTGATTATGAGAAACCCTACCCACACATCATTCTGTGCCCCAAGGTTCCAGACCTTCTCCTGGGGACAGCTGCTTGCACTAGATGACATGTGCACACTCTCAGCTCACACTCCTGCATGCATTCAGAGCTAGATATGGTAGTGTGGTAGCTCTGAGATAAAAATCTCAAATAGAATTCATTTTCCCACAGCAGGTACAACAAGTCTAGCTTATTTTTTTTTAAGTACCATAAGGATATTTTTAAAAAAGATTTATTCATTTGAGAGAGAAGAGGAGAGAGCAAGAGTGAGTGTGGGGGGAGGAGCAGAGGGGGGAACTCTCAATCCGACTCTGCACCCAGTATGGAGCCCTACTGGGGGCTTGATCTCATGACCCAGAGATCATGACCGGAGCTGAAATTAAGAGGCAGACACTTAACCACTGAGTCACCCAGGCACCCCTAAATGTTAAAATATACTTTAAAAAATAAGCTTAGAAAAACACAGACAGAAAATCTATCAAAATGTAAGCAGTGGTGATGTTGAAATGATAGAATACAAGTGAACTTTTATTTTCTTCTCTAGTTTCTGAACAGTTCAGCTTTTTTTATGTTAATTTAAAAATTATTCAAACTGACAAGAACAATATGACAGGCACATACATAACTACTTGCAGATTAGATGTTAATATTTTTCCAAATAGGCTTTAGAGATCTTATTTTAAGTATTCTTTTTGAGAATTAAATGCTATATATGTATGTATATCTATAGCTATAGATATATAAATGCTATAATGTATATATAAAAACATATAAATGCTCTATATGCATACATAAATATAGATAAGCACTACATATGTATGTGTGCGTATATATAGCTATAGATAGAGCTCTCGCCCACCTCATCTTCCCTCTTCCTCCTTGACAGGTGTATCATTTCCATACGTGTTTCTTATAATACTATACAGTTTATGTATATATTCATGATGATATAAAATTTTGTGTGTGTATTTTAAAACTTCACCTAAATTTTACGTAAATGTATTGAATGAATATTTTTGCAACTTTTTTTATTCAACATTTTTTAAATTTATTTATTCATTCATGGAAGACAGAGAGAGAGAGAGAGAGAGAGAGAGAGAGAGAGAGAGGCAAAGACACAGGTAGAGGGAGAAGCAGGCTCCATGCAGGGAGCCCGAAGTGGGACTCCGTCTAGGTCTCCAGGATCATGCCCTGGGCCAAAGGCAGGCGCTAAACTGCTGAGCCACCCAGGGATTCCCATTATTCAACATATTTTTAAAATTAATCAGTGATGGGGTGCCTGGGTGGCTCAGTTGTTAAGCGACTGACTCTTGATTTTGGCTCAGGTCAAGATCTCAGGCTCCTGAGATCAGCCCCAGCTCCCAAGCTCCCCTGTTTGGTTCTTAACACCAATTTGTAGGTACTCTTTATATATTCAGAATACTAATTATTTGATGATTGTGTTACCTCTATAGAGGCTTATGTGATTTTTAGAATCACCAAAAATTATTTTTTAAAGTGGATTCAAATTTATTTTTTCTCTGAACCTAATCTTACGGGTATGCTATATTTCTTCTAGCTGCTGAAATGAGGCATAATGACAAAATCACATGCATATTGGAAGGCCGGGAAAGGAGAGATAAGAGAAGCCTCTGTAAAGCCATCAATGACTTCCAGCAGAGCTTCCAGAGGCCAGAAACGCGCCGTGAATTTGACCTATCTGACCCCCTAGCCCTTAAGAAAGATCTTCCAGCAAGACAGTCAGATAATGATATTCGGAATACCATATCGGGAATGCAGAAATTCATGGGAGAGGATTTAAATTTCCGGGAGAGGAAGAAATTCCAGGAGGAACAAAACCGAGAGTGGTCCTTGCAACAGCAAAGGGAATGGGAGGATGCCCGTGCCCACCAGAGATGTGCAGGTAATGAAGCAAGGAGGAGGAATTGGCCCCCTGGTCTTCTCCCCAGCTTCATTTTGTCTTTTAAGTCCTATAGATGTGCTGCGTTGGCCATGAGGAGCAGGGGTCTGCATCCCAGGGTATAAATGTCTTCAGCCACAAAGCAGTCACCCAGGAACCCTGCTCTGAGCTTGTGCTCGGTGCTCAGGATTCAGCTGGCCCCCTCAGAGGCAGCTCACCACCCTCCTCCCAGCCTCCCCTCCCCTCTTCTCTTCTCACTCTGCTCTCTGGGGGTGAGGTCTCCCCAGATGGCTATCTCCTGTCGCTTTTGAGCCCACCCCCACCAGACATCTGCCCTCACCCTGCCCTGAACCTGCCTGGCCACCATCACCAGGTCCTCCATGCTGCCCCAACCAAGCTCCATTTTCAGACCTCTCCTTCACCTGCAGCCTGTGCCATCGTGGATCACCTCCTCCTCTTCCTGGGACTACTTCCCCCAACTGGTTTCCTGGATACATCGTCATCCCAGTGCTCCTCCCCAGGCCATTTCCTGGTTTCTCCTACTTGCCAAACCTCTGGATGTTGTTGCTGACCAGGGCCCTCTGCCCCTCTCCTCTCTCAACTACACTCATTCCCTTGGCGATCTCAGCTAGTCTTATGGATTTAAATACCACCCACAGACCATCCTTCCCCAGATTTACATCTCCAGCCTGGACCATTCCCTGAATCCGGACTCATCCATCCAGTCACTTCCGGACATCTCTGTGCTCTTGGATGTCTAGTAAATGTATCAAAGTCAATACCAGACACACTGACTGACCTTCCCCCAAAGCTGACCTTCCACCTCTGTCAATAGGAACTCCACTGTTCTAGTTGTGCAAGTCCCAACCCCAAGGCATCTTGATTCCTTCCTTTCTCTCAAATGCCACATCTGGCCCAGCAGCAAATCATCTCGAATTGCAACTACCTCCCTCCACACCCACCACAACCGTTCTGAAATAAACTATCAACACATCTCAGTGGGATTATTGCAACAGCCTCTAAGGGGTCTCCCTGCTTCAGGCCTTGCCCCTCTGAAATCTCCTCTTGACCCAGCGACCAGGATGATCCTGCTAAAAATGAAACTAGGTCTTTTGCTCAAAATCTTCCAATAGCTTCTCTTTTCACTCAGAATAAAAGCCAGATTCATTTTTAGGACCCATAAGGTTTTCACAGCCTGCACTGATCTCCTACCACACTTCCTTTCATTCATTCCACCCTTGCCACCCTGGCTTCCTCAGAAAGTTAAGAGTGTCCAGCTCACTTCTGCCTCAGGGCCTTTGCACCTATTGTTTCCTCTGCCTGAAAACATTTCCCTCTACATTGGCAAAGCCTGCCCCTGATCCTTCTTCAGGCCTTAGCTGAAATGTCATCTTATCAGAGAGGTCTCTCCTGACCACTCTTTTAAATTGCACCCTGTACCCTCCCACATCCCCACACTCTCTTATCCACGTCTCCATAGCAGTGATCACTGACATACTATACGATCATGTATTTGTCATTCCTGTCCCCAATATCCTATACCAAGCTCAGTGAAAGCAGGAGATTTGTCTGTTTTATTCACTGCTCTATCTTTAGTTCTTGGCACATAGGTAGCTGTTGAAGAATGAATTCATAGGCCTTTAAAAACATTGCACCCACTTCCCAGGTGCTCCACATTTCCATCTCTGGATGAGAGCCTTTGTCTCAGCCTTGAACTTGGTCCTTGAACCGCCCCCTGGACATCTCCCCAGGCACCTCAGAACATTCTAGAAAGTAACCCTGAATTTCTCTCCAGCTCTGCTCCTCCCTCCACCCTCCTCCCCTCAGTGAATGACGCCTCCGTCCCTTGTCAGGCCACAGACCCAGGAGTCCTCCTTGAGCCACCCTTGTCTCCAGGCCGTCTTCAACCCCTGTCCTTCCACCGCCTGTGTATATTTTGAATTGTCCATTTCTGCCATCACCACAGTGATCCAAGCCACCTGAGGGACCACGCCAAGGGCTTTCTCATTGTCCTTCATTTTCTTTCTTGTCCTCTCCACTCTATTCCCAACATAGCAGTCAGAGTACTTTTTTTTTTAAGATTTTATTTATTCATGAAAGACACAGAGAGAGAAGCAGAGACACAGGCAGAGGGAGAAGCAGGCTCCCTATGGGGAGCCCGATGTGGGACTCGATCCCATGACCCCAGGATCACGACTGAGCCAAAGGCAGATGCTCAGCCACTGAGCCACCCAGGCGCCTCCAGAATGCTACTTTTTAATCAACGTCAAGTTGGACAATGTCACCCTCACCCCATCCCAGCTTAAAGCCCTCCAGTGGCTTCCCATTCTGTATGGAATTAAGTGCAAAATCCTCTGTAGCCTGTGGGGCCCTGCGTGCTGGGCCGCTGCTCAGCAGCCCCCTACTCCGGGCCAGCTCTGTCCCCTACCCCACTCACTCACTACCTTCCAGCCATTTGGCTTCCTTTCACTTCTGGATCCTGGCAGATCCCATCAGAGCCTTTGCACCTGCTCCCCACCCAACTTCTTGTCCTTCTGCCTCAGCTTCAAGGTCACTTCCTCCTGGAGAAGCGTCTGACTCCCCCACCCACCTCCACTGGAGGTGGGTACTCCCAGCACTTCCTCCCCTGGGACCCTTCCCCTCTCGAGCACTATCTCCACATGCATTCATAGATGTATTTCGGGGTTCACTTGTTTATGATGTTGCTCATCTCCAGACAGTAAGTTCCACGAAGTCAAGAAAAGCCGTGATGTCTTCGCCACCGCTGCACACACCGTGCCCACAAAGGGCGCAGTCCGTGTGGTTCTCCTTGTGGCACTGTGTCACCTGGAAGGTATAAACATAGGAGGTGGGGGAGATGGAGCTGAAAGCAGCAAAGGCCATGAACTCACCCCTTGATCCTTGTGTTTGGAGATAACAAGGACATCACGGGGCATAAGACCATAAGGAGAACCTTGTGATTGGTGACTTTAAAAAAAAGTGTAACAACCCTGCGACGTAGGAGCTGTTCTGCCTCCCAGAAGAGGGCTGTAGGCTCAGAGAGGTCGGGTAGGGCAGCCTGGGTGGCTCAGCGGTTTAGCGCCGCCTTTGGCCCAGGTTGTGATCCTGGGGACCTGGGATCGAGTCCCACTTTGGGCTCCCATGGAGCCTGCTTCTTCCTCTGCCTGTGTCTCTGCCTCTCTCTCTCTCTCTCTCTCTCTCTGACTATCATAAATAAAAAAATAAAAAAAAATAAAAGAAAATGTCTGGGTGGGGACAGGGGTCTGCTCTTGTCTGACGCTAAATCTTTAGCTTTTGCTGTTTGGATGCTCCTCCTCCATAGTCCTACTGTGACTGCATGAATATCTCCCCCCACTCTGACACCCGTCCTCTAGGGAGCCCCCTCTGGTCCCCCTTGCAGAGCTCCCTTGCCCATTGTGAGGATGATTGCTCAGAGCCCCTCCACTGCCAGCGCCCCAGCCCAGGACCACAGCCCACATCACCAATCCCCAGGTAGTGGAGCTAACAGCCAGTACCTGCACCCCAGAGCTTTACCTGAATCCCTTCACTGAGTGTCCCCGCAGCCATGAGCAGCCCTGCTCTGTGGAAGAGGGCAGGATAAGAAGAGGTGCTCTGCATGCCTGGGAAGGAGCTGGGGTAGGGCCTGCAGGTTTTGTCTGTATGAATGGACATGCCACAGGGTGCTCTGCTCCCCTGGGAAGGAGCTGGAGTGGGGAGCCTGCAAGATTTCACTGCATTTTGCTTCCTTTTCAGAGGACCTGTACTTGAAGACAAGGCTGCAGTTTGATGAAACAGCCAAGCATCTACAGAATCTGGAGAGCGCCACCAGAAAGGCGGTTTGTGTAGCTGTGAAAGAATTCAACAAGAGCCAGGTGTGTCCCAGGCTCTATGGGGGAGGACACACCCATGGCTACAGCCATGGCCGCTCCCCCGGGCACCCCAGCCTCCCCTGCCCACATTCAGCCCCTCACCTGCTCACGCCACACCTGCACAGAGCCCTGCCAGGGCTGCCCGGGTACAGGGATGAATGACACCCAGTCCCTGCTCCAGAGCTCTGAATCAGGGAGTGAATTCAACAAAACTAGTCATGTGAGCCTTGGTGGGGGTGAGGGTCTCAATAGACCCTCTAAACCCCAGGCTCTTCTCAAATACTGAGGACCATGACATCTACCTAAAAGGATGCCACCCAGCACTGCTCTGACACCTTGTCTCGGTTTCCCTTCCTCTCTGTCACCTCTCAGAGCGCTGGTCCTTACCAAGAACAGGTCCACAGGGGCTCATTAATGGGAGCAATTACTATGGGGATGATTAGAGCAGACTCCTGGTGGCTCCTGATACCCCCTCTAAACTCTGTAGGAACTCCTCCCAGACTCCTCCTCGCCTGGCCATTCCCTGTTTTCCATCCCTTTTGTTAATTAGACAAAAGTCTAGACAGCTGTCCTCAAGGACAAATTCCCAGCAGGTCAGTCCAGTTCGGCAGAGGAGACGCACACAGGAGAGTCTTCCTCGAGGCGGGGGGCGGTGGGGGGGCTGCTCTTTTTGTTAGACGTGTATGGTGGAGTCAGGGTCGGTGGCAGGCCCCGGAGCCCACCTCTGCAGGGACAAGACCAGGCCCTTGTCTGCCTCCTTGGGAAAGCCAGCCACATGCCTCAGTTCTGTCATCTGTAGAGTGGGGATAATGAGGACACTCACCTGCGCCAGTCAGAGTGAGTTAATGCATGCTGGGGTGGGTGGGAAACACCTCCCAAATCTCAGTCCCCACCGTTGGGGCACCTGGGGGTTCAGCCAGTTGAGCGTCGGACTCTCGATTTCGGCTCAGGTCATGATCTCAGGGTCCTGGGATCAAACCTTACATCAGGCTTTATGCTCAGGGCAGGTGGCAAGTCCATTTGAGATTCTCTCTCTCCCTCTGCCTCCCCCTCTCTCAAATAAATAAATCTTAAAAAAGAAAGAAAGAAAGAAAGAAGTCACCACTGTTGTCAATCACTCTGTTGGGTGCACTCTGTGGCCTGCAGCCGTCCAAGGGTGACCAGGGCCACCAGGAGGGGCCCGGAGCCCTGCCCTGAGGTGAGGGAAGCCACACCAGGGAGAGATGGCGTCCTAACCCGGGGAGACAGCTCCCTGCTTCGGCAAATCAGTGCAAACAGCTGCAGCTCTTACACAAGCAACAGGTAGGGAATCCCTCGGCCCAGCCCATGTGCCTGTTGTCATCCAGGCAGCCAGGATCCAAGGGCCTCCGCACATCCATGTCTGATGAGTATACTTCCCCCTCCTACCTGTCCCAGGTGTACTTTAGCAAACTCCTCCTTCAAGGGCCCCCAGTGAGATTCGCCCATCTGTGCCTCGATCCCCATGGGGTCACTTGGGGCATCTTCCTTAATGTCTCCCCCTGTGCAGGCCACCGAATCACTGGAAAGGAAAATTCAAGAGAAAAAACAGGAACAAGAAGACAACGTGGCTGAGATCTCCAACCTGCTGCACGGGGACCTGCTCTCAGAGAACCCACAGCAGGCAGACAGCTCCTTCGGGCCCCACCGCGTGGTGCCAGACCGCTGGAAGGGCATGACCCAGGAGCAACTGGAGCAGATCCGCCTGGTTCAGAAGCAGCAAATCCAGGAGAAGCTGGTACTTGCCCCTCATCCCCCCTCACAGAGCCCCCAGACATAGCCCTGTGCCACCTGCTGTCTTCCTCCAGCATCTAGTTATAGCTGCGCTGCCCTTGTCCCTAGAAGAAGCCCTCAAGGAATTTATGTTCTGGGTGGGGCTGGGGGGTAAAAGCCAAATAATCCCACACATGTGTGACAGTGCTTGGGTAGAAGTAAGGCCGGGCCAGGGAAATGGAGGGTACAGGGTTTGAGGGGAGTCACCAGGGGACTGGGAAGTGACATGGTTTCAAAGACCTGAAGAGGAGGAGGGAACGAGCCATGCAGATGCCTGGGGAAGGACCACCAGGCAGGGTGAACGGGATTCAGGCAGGCTGAAGGGTTGGGTGTGGCATATGAGACCCAGAGGAGTTAAGGATTACTCCAGGCCTTGTGGCCTGAGCATTGAGAAGGATGAAGTTGGCATTTACTGAGATAGGAAGATAGTGGAAAGCACAGGTTGGTAGGTGGAGTGGAAGTCACAAGTGCAACTTTGGATATGGTATGTGTAATGCAATGTCCATTAGGCATCTATGTCTGTTAGGATTTTGTACCTGAACATCTTGGTAACTGGCTCCCACCTCCTAGTGCAAGACGGCTGCTTGAGCTCCAGCCCTCACATGCATATTTCATCTAGCAGGAAGAAGGAATGAGGAAGGACACTCCAAGGACACTTCTCAGAAGTTTCACAGGACACTCCCACTTAAATTCTGTTAGAGAACATTCAGTCACAGAGTTGCCCCAAACTGTAAAGATTGGGAAATGCAGGGTTTATTCCAGGGGTGGAAAGGTGTTGGCAATTGTTTCATTAAGGAAGAAAGAAAAATGGCTACTGGGAGGGACATAATATTTTCTGCCACAACCCCCAAGTAGAGCCAGCAGCTGGAGTTCAGAACAAGGTGTAGGCAGGAGACACAGGCATAGGGACACGACCACGCAGGCAGCGTTTAAAGCAGTGAAACTGGCTGAGGTCATGCAGGGAGCGAGTCAAGATGGACTAGCAAAGGGATCCAAGGACTGAGTCCTGGGACAGCCCCCACCCCTGCCATGGTCTGTGAAGAGCGAAAGGGCAGCCAGTGAGGGAGGAGGGGCCCAGCCAGGGAGCCCCCGAGTCAGACCCTGCCGCTCTGCTGCTGCCTGAATGCTGGGTCCAGGTGGTGGTCCTGGGGACTCAACCTGGAGCATCCTTGGAGGAGGGGTGGGGGCGACAGAGGGGTCACAGGCAGGCAGGTAACACTATCTAGGTTTTGTTGTAATGGGTGCAGGGAAACGGGGTGGTAGCTGCTGGGGACCCGGAGTCAAGTCATTTGGTTTCTCTGACTGTAGAAATAACAGCATACTTGTCATTCCATGAGGATGACAGCAGAGACGGGGAAACTGATGCCAGTGAGGACTTGCTGGAGCTGTGTCCTGGTTGGCAGGAGCATGAGGCACCGGGGCATTAGTGAGGCTTGGGGTGGGTGGGAGTCAGGCTGACTGTCCTTGGCCGTGGGAGCAGCCTGCGGGGCTTCTCTTCCGGAGACCCAATTTCCTGGGGAACTAGGAAGATAGCAGCTGAGGGTGGGGGGTCTGGTTAGGGATTTTAGGACAGAGAACCAGGTGCCGATGGTCACCTCGGAGAGCTGGAATGGGATGGCCTGGGGAAGAGGGCAGGATGGCCTGGCAGAGTTAGGGGTGGGGGGCCCTAGAGATGGAAGGGCACGACCTTAAAGTCTCCCTAGTGAGCACTGTCAGGGGCTGTCCCGGCCACGCTCAGCTGTGAGGGGCCCCTGGGCCCCTGGCAAGTCTGTCCAAGTGAGAGTTTCAAGGGTGCTTAGGGTGTCTGCTGGGCCAGGTGTCAGCCATGGATGCTGGGCTGAACTGGGGCGGGGGTGGGGGGTGGACGAAGACGCAGGAGCGCCAGGAGAGTAGAAAGTGTGTGGTCAGTGGATGGGAGGGCCCTGTGTGGGGACCCAGTGGAAGAGGCAGGTCAGAAAGGTGGTGGGGGTTGGGGCACTTGAAGGTGATACCAGGGAGCCTGGCCTTCTTGGTAGTGACAAAGTGGGGGCAAGAGTTCTCAAAGTGGGGTCTCTGGACCAGCAACATTGGCATTGCCTTGGAACTTGGGAGACATGCAGATTCTCAGGCTCCACCCCAGGCCCCCTGAATCAGAAACCCTGGAGTAGGGCCCATAGTCTGTGGCTGGGAAAGCTCCCTGGGGGTTCAATGCCCATTGGAGTTTGAGGGTCACCAGTAGGCTGTGCCCAGAGGGTGATAGCTGACAGGTTGGCCCTAGGTCCTTGGAGAGGAAGGGGAATCACTGACAAGCCAGGAAAAGGAAAGTTCTCAGGCCTATGGGATGGGGGGCACTGCCCCAGGGTCAGCAGAAGAGGACCTGGGGTGCGGTGGCAGGTGCTGTGGCCAGTGTGAGCTTCCAGACTGGCAAGTCCAGGGCGAGGGGCAGCAGCCCAGCTCAGGAAGTGAGGAGCGGATGGGACGGCTCTCCTGCCCGCTCTGCTCCAGGCCCAGAGGGTCACCTGTGCGGGAGGGAAGATGGCACCTGGGTGAGAGGCAGCGGGGGGCCTGGGAGCCAGGATGGGGGGCCGCCAGGGGGTAAGGTCGGGGAGCAGCCCAAGAAGAGCCCTGAGGTAGGTTTCAGATGCAGGGAATGTTGGTCACCCTTGCAGGGCCCTGCTTTGCCCTTCTCTCCTGCAAGTCAGCCCAAATGTCTGGCAAGGAAGGTCAACCATCTGTCCCCAAAGTGGCATTTTTATCTGATTTTCGATCTTTGCAGAAAATCAAGACAGAAAAACACAAAGGGAAAAAACGCCTACATTAGGTCTCACCATTCGCAAATACTCCCCCTCCCCGCACCCTTGCGTGCTCCCTGGTGCCCGTCCCTCTTGCCACCTTTATCACCTGTGTAGACGGTTTGGAGAGCTGAGGTCATGCAGACTAGTTAGGCCATCCATCTCTGAGTCCAGGGCGAGCATGCCCCCCCGCCATTCTGTATTCTTGACTGAAGCATCTTGTGTCATGACTGGAGGCGGCTGTGAGCAGCCTCATTTTACAGGTAAGGAAACTGAGGTTTGGACAGGCAAAATGACTGGCCCAGTAGGTGGCAAGACCAGGTGCCAGCCTCGTCTCCATCCCTGGGAGGGGGGCCAGGGCCTCTGCCTGTCTGCACATGGTGGCTGGCGGCCCCAGGTCTACGGGGCCACTGGACACTCAAGCCCTGCTCATCTGGTGGGTGGAAGCCTGTGGAAGGGAAGGAGGTGTGCTTGTCTTCAGACCCGGCAGCACCCGCTTTTGCTTCCTTTTCCTGTAGAAGCAGTGATCCATAGGCAGGATGGCTGATAAAACTACTCACATTTGGGAGAGTGGCCCCTTCCCTCTGCCTTACTCCAGTTTCCTCTTCTAAGGCTCAGTGGTTTTTATAGAGGGATCTGGAAGGTGATGAGGAATGAGCTGAGATGCAGAAATTCCCCCCAAGCTCATGAGTCCATTGTCAGGTGGGGGTGCCACTTCCGTGCCTTCTAGAAGCGACCAGGTGATCCCAGCGTTCGGCAGCATGGCCCGCCGGCAACATCCTGGGTGGGAGGCCCTCCTATGGAGGCCTGGGCTGGCAGCTGCTGTCCCTGCACACCTCAGAGGGCCGGCTGGCCCCTACAAGTGTGGGAAGCCCCTGGGCCACCTGGACTGGTGGCAGGCAGGGGCGGTCTCTGCTGATTTCCTGCATGACAATGCTCACCTGCCTGCCCGCCCCCCAACTCCGAGCCTTAGTTTCCCCAGCTGTAAAATAAGAGGCCGATTCTCCTGGATGGTCGCAGGCTCTCTTCCGGGTCTGGGGATGGGGGGTGGCAAGTCACCTGTCCTCCCTCCAGAGGCTTCAAGAAGAAGAGCGGCAGCGAAACATGGACTGGGACCACCGGTGGGTGCAGATGGCTCGAGCCGCCCTCCTCCTGGAGCGGCAGCAGCGGCGCCAGCAGCGTGACCTCCGCAGGGCCCTGGACTACAACAACCTCAGCCTGGCCAAGGAGCAGCGTTTGCAGTGAGGGCCTGGGCCAAGGGCCATGGGGAGGGGTGGCCGGGTCGGGGGAGCAGGTGGGATGGAGGGTTGTCCGAATGGAGATCTGACTGAGTGGTGGGGAGGGTCGAGGCAGGCTGTGCAGGCCCACCCTGAGGCTCCAGACCTGAGTTGTGGATCCCCCTGGAGGCCCCCCAGCAGCAGCGGCTTGGGCCCAGCACAGCCTCCTGCTATAGGATTCAAACAGGAAGGGGAGAGGCCTGAGAGCCACAGGCCAGGGGTTAAGTGGTTGGAAACCAGTTCCCTGGGAGGTGCTCATGCGGGCACTAGCACCCTCCCCCCACCCCAGCAGCTCAGACTTGGGTGCTGGTGATGGAGTACACAGGGCACTGGGAGCCCCAGGGGAGGCCCCTGGGTGGGCCTGGGGGAGTGGGAGGATGGTGCCAGCTGCCTGGTGCAGGGAGGGACCTCCCGGGCTGCCAGGGGCAAGCTGGAGTCTCTCCGTCATGGTCGGACCCCAAGAGTAGTTCAGAGTTCCCGCTACAGAAAACGTCAAATGCAGAGCCATATGTGAACTTGTTCGTCAAAAAACATTACTCATTAATCTGTTCGTCGAGCTCTGTGCTTGAACTTGGCAGAGAACCACTCGTATGTTTGCCAGTGGGTCCACCGTTACTGGGTCCCTTCTGTTGGGGGCCCCAAGGGAGCAGTAGAGATGACCTGAGGGGAGTCAGATGGGATGAACAAATGTCTTTACAGCCATACTCATGTATGTATATATGTATACATATATACATATATATATATAATTTTTTTCTAAGTGGGAGGATATTGGGGCACCCAGGTGGCTCAGTGGTGGAGTGTTTGCCTTCAGGTCAGGGTGTCATCCTGGAGTTCTGGGATCGAGTCCCACATCGGGCTTCCCACAGGGAGCCTGCTTTTCCCTCTACCTGTCTCTCTGCCTCTCTCTCTGTGTCTCTCATGAATAAATAAATAAAATCTTTTTAAAAAGTAAAATAAAAACAAAAAGTAGGATATTTAGGAGGCACTTGGGTGGCTCAGTGGGTTAAGTGTTTGCCTGCGGCTCAGGTCATGATCTCAAGGTCCCGGGATGGAGCGCTCTTGCAGGCGTCCTGCTCAGCAAGGAGTCTGCTTCTCCCTCTCCCTCTGTCCTTCTCCCCTGCTCGTGCTCTGTCTCCCTCTCTCTCAAATAAATAAATACAATCTTAAAACAAAACAAAACAAAAGGTAGGATATTTAGGAAACAAGGTATTTGCGGATTTTTTTCCCTCGTTTTATTTTCAGGAAAAAATATATGGAGGAAATTTGTACAAATGAACCCACTGAAGACTATTTCGCGCAATTTAATACAAGAAGTCGGTAACGAAAGAGACAGCGTCCTTCTCTTCTGAATTGTTTATGCATAAAATGCAATGGCCGTGAAGAGTCTCATTTATTAAAAAAAAAGAGAGAGAAATACATTCCTTGTTTCAGAGAAACCCTCTTGCTTTTCTCCCTTGGGTCAACAGGTACGGAACCCCATGCTTGTATGTGTGCAAGGAGCGTTAGTTTCTGTGCAGTTCCTGCTCAGAGAATGTTCCCGGAGCAGCTGTGGGTGCTGTGGCCACAGGGATGGAGCAGATGTGACCCTGCAAAGGACCATCCCAGAGAGGGGCATTTGAGGGGGCTCGCATCTCATTGAGACCCTAGTTCCAGCTGCTGTCAAAGCTAACATGGGTGCTCACTATGTGCAAGGCATTTAGAACAATTTCACCCTCGCGGCAGCCGGTGGTGGGTATCGTTATTACTCACGTGCTCCTGGAGAGGAGCCTGAGATTTAGGGATGTTAAGTGACTCGCCCAAGGTCATGCTGATGGCGGTGATGGGCCTGGGGTTGAGCCCAGGCAGTCCAGCTCTCAAACGCAGGCCTCACTCTCCTGGCTCCAGTGACAGAGACCCAAAGCAAGTGTGGCCTCAGCAAAGCCGCTTCCCTCTTGCTCTCAGAAGACCAAGCCAAGTGCTGCTCCCTCCCTACTCTGGCATCTCCCATCTTGTGGTCCAGGGATGCTGCTTCCAGGTGCCACCACCATGTCACTAGGCCAGCAGGTAGGAGGGGAAAGGGGGACAGAGGGGACCATGGCATGCTCCTTACCCTCCAGGACGAGCCATAGAAAGTGTACGTTTCACCTCCGTTCACATCCTGTTGGCCAGAGATGGGTCACGTAACCACATCCTGCGACACAGGAGGCTGGGAAACTGAGCTGGCCAACCATGTGACCGGGCAGTGATTCCAGAATGGTGTAAAGAGTAGAAGAATAGTTGTTGGGGGACCTCCAGCAGATTTGAAGAGTGGACTTGGAATTTGCCAGAGGGGAGGTGGAAGGAGGCACTTTATACTGGGCAGGAATACTGTGTCTGGCAGGAATGGGGTCTCTAGCTCCCAGGCCCAGGATGAGTGCATCCTACCCAGTTGACTCTTCCTTCTCCATGTAGGTTTCTTGGGGGACCATGTGCACAGAACCAGTGACATATGGCAGCTCTTGGTGGCCCTTTACCAATTAGCCAAGAGAGAACTAGGTATGCCAACATAAGCTGGTTGGCTCATCCCCCTCTTGGTCTAAAGGCGACTCTCATTCTGCTTAGGCTCCAAACCCTTCACCGGCTGATGTTAACAGAGCCTGAGGGTTGGCAGGGTTTCCTGGCTGGGTCACTTGGGGCTGGACCGTCCAGTTGAACATTATTTGTTGGAGCACAGTGTGCAGATGGCCTGGGGGACCACATGGGCTGAAGTGGAAGGGGAGGATCCTGTGGGCTCTAGCCAGGAAAGCTCCCGAGGAGCTGTGGGCCAGCAAGTAACAGGGTCCAGTGTGCATGTTTCTGAAAGGTGGCTTCAGCAGCAGCGGGGCTGCCAGAGGACAGGCTGACTTTGAAGGTGCATATCACCGTCTCCCGGCCAATCCAGCCTCACGCAGCCTCCCAGAATGGCAAAGCATCTGAATGAATGGTAAACTGGGACCTAGTTCAAACCCAGAGTTAGCCTAGTAATGGTGCCACCCACAGGGTGAAGTGGGGCGGGTTGGGGGGTGGGGGCTCCTGCAGGTGCTGCAGCTGAGATACCAATTGTGATCTTATGCTGGGGAGTGGGGAGCATGCAAGCCCATTTATTAGCACCTAATGGATGCTGGATCTCACTAGTGCCTGGTGCAGATGAGCATGTTCTGGACTTTCTGGCCCCGTTAGGCAGCTGGGCAGACTCATTTTGACTTCTGGTCCTCTGCAGGGGGAGGAGACATCCACATCCATCCAAATCAAGTGCGTGTCCTGTGATTCACCCCCTTGCCACTGCTGCTGACCATCCCAATGGAGTGGGTACCCCTAAGTGATCAACAGGGACAGTATACTCCCTTTGGGGGGCAGGTTAGGGGCGCATTAGTTTCCCGGAGCTGCCATAACAAAGGACTACAGACTGGTGGGCTTAAGCCACAGACATTTATACTTCTTCACAGTCTGGAGGACAGAGATCAAGGTGTTGGTGGGCTTCTTCTGAGGGCTCTGCAGCTTCCAAGGGTTTGCTGGGGACCTTTAGGGTTCCTTGGCTTGTAGATGCATCACCCTGACCTATGCCTCCATCTCTGCATGACATTATCCATATGCATGCTTCTGTGTCCAAATTTCCCCCTTTTTATAAGGATACCAGCCATATTGGATTAAGGCCTACCCCAGTGACCTTAACCAATGATATCTACAGCGTGAAAGGCATGCTTTAACTCTGAATTTTGCATCATTATAACAAATGTTCTAGGAGGAAGGACAGGCTTGGAAACTTTGGGCACCGGCTTGCTTTACGGGAGCCCTCTGCTGGTGACCAGAAGCACAACACATTCCAGGTGGTTCTCAGGCATGGGTAAAGGAACCCAGCCACTGAAGGATCCACCCAGGCCAGGCATTGGGCAGGCTGGTGCCACAGCCCTTATACAGCTGGTTGTCGTGATCACCCTCCAGCCAAGAGAAAATAGAAGGGAGCTTACACCTTAGCGCTGGCTGGAAGGCAGAGTCAGGGTCCAGGCGTGGGGTCTCTCTGACTCTCCTCTGAATGGCCCCTTGCAATCTTACCTGCACACGCACACTCTCCAGAGTAGCTGGGTTTGTTTTGTTTAATTTTGTCTCAAGATTTTACTATACAAATTTTCAAACACAGAAAAATGGGTAGAATTGTAGGGTATGATGCATACACCTCTACCTAGATTCTCCAATTAATATTTTGCTATATCTGCTTCCTTATCTCTTCATAGATAGGCTTTCAAAATTCTACTTATATGCCGCTTACAAAAGACACACTAAGGGGCACCTGGGTGACTCTTGGTTTCAACTCAGGTTGTGATCTCAGGGTGGTGAGATTGAGCCCCATATCAGGTCCACAATGAGTGGGGAGGTGGCCTGAGGATTCTCTCTCTCTCTTTCTCCCTCTGTATCTACCCCTGCTCATGCTCACTCTCTAAAATAAGTAAATAAATCTTTAAGGTAGAAAGACACGTTAAAACAGCATAGAAAAAAATAAGAGGATTCCAAAGTTATTTGAACTTAACACCAAAAAAGTGAAAACTGATGTTCACACACAAATCTGCCCACCAATGTTTATAGCAGCTTTCTTCATACTCGCAAAAACTTGCACATAGCCAAGATGTCCAGACAATGGAATCCAGACAATGGATATTATCAGTGATAAACAGAAATGAGCTATCAAGCCTCAAAAAGACTTGGAGGAAATTTAAATGCATATTACTAGGTGATAGAAGCCAATCTGAAAAGCCTACATAATGAGCGATTCTAATTCTATGACCTGCTGGATAAAATAAAACTATGGAGACAGTAAAACGATCAGTGGTTGCCAGGAGTTGGGGGGAGGAAGGAATGAAGGATATGTGACATATCCTCTATGTGACATAGAGGATTTTTAGGGCATTTAAACAGGTCATCATTCATTTGTCCAAACCCATACAATATACAGCTACGGCCTGCGTGAGCAATATGTTTGTTAAAGGAGTCAATGGTGCATTGTGTTGCAGTTAGTACTTTTTCCTCACCTCCTGTATCATGAAGGATGCTGCACGCATGCTCTACTGGTGCCAAGCACTATGCTAAGTGCATTCCTTCCACACGTCTTGGTTCTTTGCAAGAATCCTTACAAACCAAGATTGTCGTCCCCATTTTCCACAGATGAAGTCACTGAAGTGAGGGATTTCTACTTCCAAGGGGAATGATCTATACAGCAGAATGAATATCCTAAAATATTTGTCCTCTACCACTCAACTGGGTCCCGGATTAATCATAACAAGCACTTTATATGCATTGCTGAGCTCACAAGGTAGTAAATGAAACCGTGGAAGTTATACACACACATAAGAACAGTGAACAGAAACCAGAACAGGAACATTAATAAGAAATAGAGGCTGGGGCGGTGCTGGTGGCCAAGGCTGATAATAGGAATCCAGAGTTTGGGGGATTAAAAATTAGGAGAAAAATAATAAGAGGCCCTCATAAAAGGGGGTTATCAAAAACTGAGACCTATGCATTAATCTGGGACTTTGGATTACGCTCTAAATTAGAGAGATAGGCAGAAACTGTTAGAAATCAATGAGTCTCCGCCATGGCTCTGGGATAGTGATGATGATGGCGATGGTGATGTTGCTGGTGGTGATGGTGATTGATGGTGATGCTGATGATGATGGGGATGAGGATGATGACATGACAGTGGTGATGTTGATGATACTGGTCCTTGAGAATCCACACCCAGTTGCTCACTTTTACATGGCCCCAGAGTTTCCATGTTTTCCAAAGAGGTGAGAGAAATCCCCAGCAGAAAAATTAAATCTCAGTGTTCTCAGATTAATTTTGCCTCCACAGAACCTACTAGAGGCTAACATAATCGCTGGGCAAAAGCAGTCCCAACTTAGACTCTTTAGGATTCTCTCAGATTAAATTCAACCAAAGACAAGCTCACACAAACATACAAAACATGCAAGCAAACAAGCTGCCACAGGTAGACATCAGTAGAAACCACCATTCAGATTTGATCTCCCTAGAACTTTAGATAATGAAGTTATAGGATATAGGTATTTTTAAAGTCTATTGGTCTTTTACATCCAGCCTTGATGAAGTAACTAGGACTGGACTATCCCTCCTGCTATAAATAACAGAAAACTGGACAGAATAAACAGAACAACCGTTTTTAGACATTGACGACAGACAGGGCAGGACTGTGATCTCTGGGAGAAGGGGAACAAGGTGAGCTGTCCAATGCCCAGCACTTCTTCCTGAGGGCATCACTATCATTGGCAGAAAGGGGGACCCCAATCAGAGTAGTACACTAATCTCACTGAGCTG